ATGTATGCTGGTGAGGCATTTGGACTGTTGAGTTCAAGCGAAGTGGCATGTTTGGTAAGAAGACACAGTCTTCCAGCTGAACTCATCACGGATTTTCAGATTGTCTTGCTGAGGCATAAGATCTTGAATGCCTTAGCAGAAACAGACTGGGACTTGTGGGATGTTGAGGAGTTCACGCTGGATGAAAGCAGTGAATATGATGAATCAGACGATGAGTATTGGTAGCTTTCCTTGAAATATTTGCATCATAAAAGTGACTGGCGGTTCAATGTTCCAAGGCAGCAAAACTGATCACTCTTAATCTGTCTCCAACATATCCAGTTAGGGCTGGCAAATGATAAAATCTAAGACTTGCCAAGATGCCGAGACCCTTGTTTGAAAACTTAGGAACAAGACTTTTTAAATCAGTTTTGGAAAATCTGGGTCCCAGAACTTAATGATCAACAATCCTAAGTGCTCTTGGCTAAGCTAGAAACTGAATAGCATTTCCTATAACAACTGAGTATTGACTTGAATCAATAGCAGTCAGAGGTAATTGCAAGCTGTTTGCCTGTAGCAATAACATTTTGACCTTTTCACTTTCACAGTAGGTTCTGTTTGAGACCCCTGGGCCAAAAAACAAATCTAAGACCTCCAAGAAAGAAGGAACACAAAAAAGAGCCTTTGTTACTCATCATAATGGCTCCTGAGATTACAAGATCAGTTCAAGAAGGATCTGCTCAAGTATACAAGCCACAAGAGTTTCTTGGTACCATTTGCCACCCCTCCATTGTCCTCTTGGAAAGTACCAAGAAAGCTTTCTCATCAGCTCCCAATCAATTTTCTCTGGTGTCCATCTTCCATTCATGGTAAATCTCATACCCAGGTCATATTTCATCCTCAGTTATTTCTGTGTATTTGCACAAGGAAGAGTGTACTGTTGATTGTCTTTGTTCCCTCCACTCCCCATTTTATTAATTTTCTTTTTAGAATCATTACAGAAATATTCGACCCGCACAATCTTATCTAGTATTAAAGGAGCTATGTCATGGTTTGCACATCTTGAAAGTGTAGCCTAAATTTTTCAAGTTTTTCATTTTTTTTTTCTGTATTAATCTTGTTGTTCATTTATGGTTTATCTTTATTAGCTCTATGGTGTTTATCTCTATGGTGTTTCTCTTTCTTAGAAAACTAGTATTTTCAGCTTTCCTTCAATTTAAAGGTATTTTATTTGTATGTTGCCGAAATAACTCAAAATACCATCGCTGAGCTCCTTTAAGTCATGCAAAGCATGCAGAAGGCACAATGCAAGTAGTGGACAATGCAGCAGTACCATTTGCACGTACTGCTGGCCTATATTACTAGATATCATCACTCTTTTACAATAATTATTTTAAAGTTGCAATTTCACATTTCTATAGAAGTTTGAATTCAGAAACATCTGTTAGTACAATGTAAGCCTTCCATTCGATTATTTTAATCACCAATTATCACAAGGGTGATCATAATAATTTCAGTCAATGACTAATAACATTGACAATTATTGTTGTCTATGACAGTCCCCTGTTTTTGATAAGTAGTTTCACCTTGACGAGAATTCTTCATTTGATTGTTTTGTTTAGCTCTCTGTCACTTGACAAGAAACACAAGAAATAGAAATTGACACCACCTCAAGTAATACCACACATTTAAAGGTGTTTAATAAAATCACCCATATTCCAGCAAACAGTCATGTTAAAACAAATACCCTTAGATAATAATTATAATAATTATTAGTGTTTACCATAAAAATGCTCCCAAATTTGAGAGGTATAGTTTATGATATCTTGTTTTGTTTTGAATTGAAGACAGTTTTTTTTTTCTTAGGTAAGAATTGACTGATTTACATATTGACTGATTTACATGTAAATCCAGTGGCTCTCTTTTAGACTTTTCATTCAAGTTCACAGTTTGTACTTTGCATGCTTTTGGATTGTCAAGGTTACAAAAATAAATTGTCTCCCATTCCTGAATAAACGCCCGGTCA